TACAATCTTTTCAAATAGAGATAAACTTCTCAACTGTTTGGTCAGTTGGAACATTCACTACTCCAGTTTACAATTTATGGATAAGTATCTCATATCAGAAGCTCATTAAGTAACCAGAAAAGCTAATGGACTTCATCGTACCCTGTCCACATTTTTCATATATATATATATGGTACAAAAATAAATGCAACACTATTTGTTAACAGTTTTCTATATTAATAACTAAAAGGATTTCTCTTCCTTGAGACTCTATACTGCATTGACATCTCTTGGGTCAAATTTTCCTAGTTTTACCAACGGAGATCCCATTTTCATCTCTCAAAAGATACACAGGCAACAACCAGATAACTCAGCAAACTAGTTTTGGTCTGATGGATACCAGGAGTGAGGAAGCTAACAAAAGATGGAACACAACCCGATGCATAGGCATCTCTGCTGTGCACATTCAACCCGGGTTACTTTTTTTGGTTTGGGGTTGGGGGTGCACAGACTAGAGATAGAGAGCACACGTTCCCCCTGACTAGGGTAGATCCAACTTTTAGTCAATGCACATACTTGAGCACCATACATCTCTCTCCCTCCCTCTGCAAGTGAATGACCACACCGCTTGTGCTTTTATGTGTTTCACGTCGGTCTTCTAAAACTACTTATTCAAGAGGCTTATATTGCTATTCTGCTCCCAATAATTGGTTATTCTTACAAAAAGCATAAATTATATCAGAGACAAAGGACAAGCACCATGAGCCTAAACATCAATTAACACACTATCAGAAATTCAAGCTGTTACTTCTTAAGCCAAAATTTCTTAAGCCAAAGTTTCTTAAAACAGTACCAGGAATCTTTTCTGCTCTTTCAGCAGATGGTCCTGGGTTCACAGGTAATCTCCCAGTAGGTTGCTGAAAAAGAAGCAGAAGGGTAAGACTAGTGTATCTTTATAACGCAGAAATCAAGTGACAGTAGATAATTTTTTAGTGAGGGCAGAATAAAGGGACAGACTCGTCCTCTTGAACTAGAGCCAATCTGTGGATACTTCAAGATAGTCCAGTCAAATACATAGTCAAATTGATAACCTGCAATACACATAAAAATAAGTTTCTTGTATAAGACTACTGAAATAAAACACATGATAAATACCGAAGAGAAAATATAAAGGATGGAGCGGATGACTGAAACTATTAGCATCATAAAATAGAAAATGTACCTTCTCTAATAAAAAGGTCTCGGAATAGCCTCTTCAGGTATGAGTAATCTGGCTTGTCATCAAACCGTAGTGATCGGCAGTAATGGAAATATGATATGAATTCTGAGGGATAGGATTTGCAAAGCACCTGCTTAACAAAGACCAATGGAATATGTCATTATGCAGTTTAATGCACAGAACATATATTTAGGGTAGGTATATATTTGTAAGACCCAGTACTCTCCTATATGACCAAACATGCAACATCTCATATCAAGATTTTACATGGAACGTATAACGTACATAAAGTCACACTACCTCTATAGGTGTAAGCATCTTCTTCTCACTAATCTTATCATATTTCTGCTTTTTGGTGCCAGCTTTCAAACCTTGCCACGGCAGACTAGCAAAGACAATTAAATATGCTAATTGTAAGAAACAAGTAATGCACATGGAAATCCAAAGACAGGAGCCAAAAGATTAACGTTAAACTGTAATTCCCAAACCTTCCTCTCAAGAAATACATAAGCACATAACCGAGAGACTCCAGATCGTCTCTTCTGCTTTGTTCTGCATGCAAGGAAGAGAGGGAATTATGTTAATAAGTTCAATTCAAAAAACTAGTAGGTACCCAAGACAATATCAAACTTGCTTACCAACTCCAAGATGGGTGTTAACGCTAGCATAACGAGCAGTTCCCGTGAGGTTTTTGTTTTCCCTGTTCAAAGGAAGCTAAATTATTCAAAAATCCACATACACTCCAATCCGTCCACCCAAAACCCTATAAAAATAAGGTCAAGGAAAGAAAAGCATGATAAGAATGAAAACCTCCAAATTTGTTTTTCTTCGTCTAACCATCAACTATTGAGAAGCTTGGAAGTGTATATAGATGGGATGGGCAGTAAATGAAAAAATAAAAGAAGTGTCCAAGAAGGAATGGAGGGGAAAAACAGTTCAGCCAAAATTTACAGAAGTACAATCAAACAATATTGGTAGCTTTGACTCAGCTTATGCGAATGTGAACTTTGCAGAAAACACAACAAATCAGGGAAGGTCAGTACTGGGCTTGAGCTAAAAATCAAATGCTCACTACTACATGAATCAAAATGAAGCCGTCTCTTTGACAAATGGAAACAAAACCTTCGGCTTCTTCTATCAAGTCCTTGATTCTAACACTTTGTAGTCAATTGGAGCATTTTATTTTCTAAAAGTGAAAGACCATATGGAGATCTGTGAGGAACAGAAGAGGTTCACATTTTATACCTGTATGGTATATGCTTATGCGTCTGAAGATCTCTGTACTTCTTGGCAAGACCGTAGTCAATGATGTATACCTGTTATAGCAAAAGAAAACACCCAAAATTATTTAGAGCTGCAGCATTCATGCCACAGGAATTGTTTTTCCATGAAAATTGTAAACTTTTTCTAACGTAGATTCACAATGGGTACAGACTACAGAGACAAGAAGCTGCTGATCCACTAATTACAAGATGGTCAAGTCATCTTCGATAGCATCATATAAGATACAATTGTGGAATATCTTTAAGGCTATGTCACTTTTATAAACTAAAGTATGGAGGAACTTCCTCTCCTATCCGGATAGCAAATTCCTTCCATTGCGAGTGTCTAATTACCAGAATTTTGTTGGTAATTAGAACTTCTACCTCCCAAGCATAAGCACTGATCGCTGCATTAGAAAACCATACACTAAAGAGAGAGGAAAATGATTCAGTGTAGCTCGTCAAAAAATATGCACCTGGAAAACAAACTGGATTTTGAGCATTTCTCCTAGAAATTGAACCAAATGCATTCCTGGCCAGTTGGCTAGACCCTTCTCGGACACGAATGTAAAGGTTCATGTCACAGAAATTGTCTTCTTGAGCTTTAATTTATCAGAAAGATTTTATTGAGCTTTAAGAGAAGTAAAAGGCAGAGAGAGCATGAGAGTGAGTTAGAGTTTAGAGAGTGAGAGAGAGAGAGAGAGGAGAGAAGAAATATGACTTCTTGAGTTCCGGATAACATAAGGGAACATCAAAAAGATGTTACTCCAAAGTTCCTAGATCAAGCTCAACAAGCAAGATAGAACATTCGAGCCCCACAAATGCTGGAAAAGCATTCGTGTAGTGGAACTCCAGAACCCTAAGAAAGTACCAACTTGCCTAGATCCTAAGCGATCTAGTTTCCAGACAAGTGGGTGGAGAACTTTCCTGAATAGCCAGTCCAAACATGTAGGAGCATACAACTTTGTTGTAAACCACACGAACAAACATGGACACTTAGAGAACATATTATGAAGTGCACACCTGATTTGCTTTACGCCCTAAACCCATTAAGAAGTTGTCGGGCTTAATGTCACGGTGAAGAAATCCTCTCGAGTGCATATATTCAACCCTATTAATCTGCATAGGAGAACAAGTCTTATGCAACCAGCTACAATAATTATGCTTTAATCATTATATATAATTTTGATTATTTACCAACTGATCTGCCAGCATTAACACTGTCTTTAAAGTGAACCTCCTATTGCAATAGTTAAACAAGTCTTCCAAACTTGGCCCAAGAAGGTCAATAACCATGGCATTGTATTCACCTTCAACGCCAAACCACTTGAGGTGTGGAATTCCAGCTTAAAGTAAGAAAATGATAAAAGAAAAACCAGATCAGTTCAGCTCAAAAAAATATAAACAGTCATTGATATTCATGGGTAGAAGCTATTACTTACTTCCTCCTTGTAGAAGCATATACAGCTTTGATTCATAATGAAGTTGAGGGTGCTTTGTTTTAGTTGATTCCTGGAAACCAAAAAATAAAGCTAATGTGTCAAAGAAAAAACCTTTAGTACTAAACGTAGCACTAGAAACACATTCCTGCATAGAAAGCGCAAGAAAATCTCATTGATGTTTTGGTGAAAGAATCAAGCCACATATGAAGTCTTATAATACATCACAATTTGGTCCCCTACCAAACCAATATGTCTAAATTAAGCAAAATTATTCTAGACTCTTCAGAAATAGAAGCTATACCCAGCAAATGCAGACTAACCGAATAAAGGGCCAAATAAGCAACGTCACTCGAACATTCAGCCAAAACAGCAATGTTTTTTTTTGGAACGGTAACAAAGCCAATATAGCAAAGTGTATCTATGATATTTTAAGTTTATTAGTTGACAACTGATTACTCAAGAATTATCTTCTCATCTTCTAGTAAAAGACTCATTCTTTTTTAATTTTCTTAATGCTGTTTTTAGTTTTACTTAGCTCTAGTGAAAAGCTCAACCTTAAGACAATTGACACAACTATCTACTGAGTTTCCAGCTTCAGCTAAATCAACATTTTTAATTTTATTCAATTCCAGTGAAAAGGCACAATCTTTAATTCTAATAAACATACTCACCAGCTTCACAGCAACTTCTTCTCCAGTTTGTACATTGACCCCTGATATAAAAAAAAACTGAAAGTCAACACAAGCCCCACAACAAAAAATGTTAAGCTACAATTGAAATTAACAGCAATCAAGAAATACAAATTGAGATTACCTAAATAAAGTTCCCCAAAAGATCCACTACCGATCTTTCGGCCTAGCTTAAACTTGCCACCCACCACATGATCCATACTCAAAGATTGAATCTTTTCTTGATTTCACTTAAACCCAATTCAACTAAACAGCTTTAAATCTTGAAATTACCCTCAGATCCAGAAAAAACCAAAAGAAATTACCAAAAATGACTTCTTTTTGGTGACCCCAGAAAAAAAAAAGAATCTTCAAAACCCTAATACCTAATATCAGTCATATATATGGAAAACACTTGGAACAAGTCTTTTTTCAACAAAAGTCTCCCCCTTTTTTTGATTAAAAAACAATAAACAAATAATACAATGAATGGGGAAAATTGCAAAGAAAAAAAATTATAGCTTTGAAGAGAAACCCTAAATCTGGGAAGATAAAATGAGGAAATAAAAAAGGTTAAGTGGGTTTTTGGATTCTTGAAAAAAAAAATTAGAGACGAAATAGAAAGGGAAATGGAAAGGGGAAAAGAATGGGAAATAAGAGAGAGAGAGAATCTAATGGAAACGAAATTTGTGGAAAATTTAAGAAAATTGATTCAATGAGAGGGAGAGGGATTTGTGTAAAGAGAAGAAGATGATGAAGGAGAAATAGGAGAAATGGTATACAAGAAAATAAAAGCTGGAAAAATAGTGGCTTTTTCTTCCTTTTTTCTCTTAGTTTTTTTTTTTTTTTTTTTTTTTGGTTTCCTATTTCTTATACTATTGTGAATTTGTTGTGATGCTAGGCTAATTATCATTTATAGGATTATAAATTAAAATATTGTTTAGTAAATGATATAACTGAATATATACTTTTTACATTATAATCATCAAATTTAAACTTTATTTTTTATTTATGAATTTATACTTGTGTTTTTTATTTCTTTATTTGAGGTTTTGGTGGAGGGGCGGCTACTCTTGGTTTTTGGGATAAATTCTTTATTCAAAAAACATTAGATGCTGGGGAATAATTTAAAAAAGAAAATAAAGGAAATAAGAATATATTGTGATCATTCTCTAGGAAAGAGGTTTAAAATTGTTTTTCGTTTTCTAAATTAGAAGATTAATATTCTGTTTTAGTAATAAATTAGCCTAGTGTAGGTGGTTATTATAATGTTTTCGGATTTCAAACTGCTTTGTTGATTCTTTTTAAAAAAAAATAAATAAATAAATGAGTACTTATTATTTTTAAATTATTTCTTAGTTATAAAAAGTTTTGAATTATCAACGCTTCTTGGCTTGATATTCTTTAAGTCAACGTAAATTTGAGTTTTAACGTGTCAAATCTGTGAAATAAGTAGCAAGTTAACTTTAAATTTTTATATTGTTGAAGTTTCAAATATTTTTAATCTTAATAATATGTTTAGAAACTCTCTATATTTTTACTAGCATATAAATTTCAGATAGAATTAAAGGAATTCGGAAAACATAAGAGTTAATGTATAACGTACTAACTTGACCAAACATAGTTCCAACTAACCGGCATCACCTTATTTCCTCCGTCGTGCCAATAATCTTTTCATTTTATGTTATTTGCACATTCTATCTAATTACTAATATGATCATTTCTTATTTTGTATGACCATACTTTTCATATCTCAGCGCTCTCATATAATATTGTTGACTTATAACTATTGTATAGAGTTTACTTTTAACTTTGGTAGATAGAGCATTTTTTAATAGAAATCAAATTAGTAATTTGTTCAAAAAATTCGAATATATCGCATATTCATTATTACTATCCAAAAATAAAAAAGGCAAAACAAGTTGATAATCAAATTTTCATTCAACATTTTAAGAAAAAAAGCGTCAAAGTATGCCAATGGCTGCTTCCGCAGCCAAAATTCCTGTCTAAGATCATCTAATTTGAAATTTCTATAATTGCACCACTTTGAAATACAAAATCAGGAAATTAATCCTGATTTGATTGAACAAGTATGTCATGTTTAAAATATTTAAAAATTATCGTCTCCAGTTCATCAATTTAATAATTAATCAAATATGATTTGTATTGGGTTGAAGATTTGAAGCCATGTTCCTTATACTTTTCGTACATAATCGTAGCTACAACATATGAATTTGTCAAAGCTAATTGAGGAACACGAAGACTAATAGCATTCATAACTAAAGAAGTCAAATAAAATTTTAGTACATTGAAATGTTCACCACTAAGAAGATATCAACAGAGTATTATTTTCTTATGTTTTATTTTCTTTTTTTTTCTTGAGACAGAGAAAGACTGTTTGAATATTTTTTTATAAAGACAAAAGTGATCAATATTTTTTTTTGTTTTTTCTGAAGTATAAAACTATTTATTTGTTCCTGAATATCTTTCGGGCTCTAGTGATTGCATCATTCCCTTTTTGATCTGCACATGCTAGATACACATATTCGTTTGGTACAATAGATAGGCAAAAATAATCCTAAGATAAGAATTTATACGGCCTTATCACTTGTTTGGTTACTAATTTTGGAATAAGTTATCCCAAAATTAAAAATAATATCCGGATAACTTACCAGAGGTTGGAATAATTCCCAGAATAAGTTATCATATGATAAAACAGTAAAATTGATAATTCAAAAATTAATATAACATACCAAACAATTAATAAGAAATAATATTGGGAATCCTAGCGTAACTAATTCCACAGAATTTTTCTTCAAAGGAAACGACCTAAGTGATTATCAATCTTTGGAGACAATTTCAATTTTAGGTCTACCTTGTCCACAAAAGAAAAATAAAAATAAAGTCATAAATACACCTAAACAAAAAAGGAAAAGGAAGAAGGAAGTAAAAGAGGAGAAGTATACAAAATATTTTAAAGTAAGACGATGACTGAAGATGTGCATATTAATCAGAAAATCATTTTTGTCTCACTGCGCATGTTCTGACTAAGAGATCATATTGTAAGATAAAATCATGACCATTTTGTTCACTTTCTCAAATCACTTGGCTAGCGTTTGGCCATAGATTCCCAAATTTATTTTGAAAATTCTGATTTGGGTGAAGATTGATTTGAAGATGAAAATGTGTTTGGAAATGATTTTTCAAAATATATTTCACTTTTTATTTGAAAAAACATGAAACATGACTTATACCCACAAGTTCCAAAAAGTATCACAAATACCCAATAGTACCAAACAAAAAAACTTGCTATCTTGTATATACATAACCTTCATTACTCATATTAACATATGAAGTCATTACTCAGATTACAATCATGCCTACACCACATCGTACAACTAAAATAATTAGCATCAGCGTTTCATGCATTAGAGTACAACATAACAAAATAAAAATAACAGTTAGCTCAATTTTTCTTTAAGTCTTTAAACCATTCGACTTGATTTTTTTCGGTCATATGAACGAATATCTTGCGAAAGCTGGGGTTAAGCAAGAAAGGCACTGCTGGTGAAAATTTTTCATCAGTTAAACCATGTTTTTGCAAGAAAATTACAAGTGGGTAGTCACAACTTCCTCAGAGTAGATATCAATCTCAGTTTCTTTCGAGAGCAGATACAAAGAAAGAAGCAAGAACAAGAGCAGAAATTGAGGTGATTACTTAAATGTGGGCTCTTTTACAAACTATAAAAGTTTGGGATAATATTTAAAAAATTTTAAAAATGTAATGGTCATGTTTTGGCCCAAAATCAGCAATTGAGGTGATTTTGGGATTTGGGATCTTGCCAAACTGTGGGCAAAATCTATGACCAAACATGTGTTTGCCAAATAAATCCCAAATTTATTTTGACAAAACTCATGGCCAAATGGGTCCTTAAAAAATTAGACTGCAAGGAGAACACAAAGATCAAACATAAGAAAATTACAGGCATACTTTGTTTAGTTCTGCATCTAAAATGTTGGTTTCACATGCCACCTGATAAAGAACAAACAGTGGATAACTCAAATGACCAAATACATTGTTAATTCAGACACATTTGTATAAGTATAAAACTACTATACTTACGATTTTATATATTGTCTTTCTTTGGTCCAATTTCATGGATACTTTATTGGTACTATGAAAGGGGAGTCTTGGCGTAACTTGCTGCCATGTTATCAGGAAGTCACAAGTTAGAGCCGTAGAAATAGCATCTTGCAGAAATGTAGGGTAAGACTGCGTACAATAGACCCTTATGGTCTGACCCTTCCCCGGACCCCGCGCATAACGGAAGCTTAGTGCACCAGACTGCCTAAATACTTTGCTGGTAATATGACCTATTCCTGATGTGAAATGGGATCTGTCTCCTTAATGCCAACTCCTATCAGAAAATACAAACTTCATCATCTCACACTCCCATAACAAAGATCCCCCCCAATGTAGAATAAACAATTCACAACTAAGCTTCAGAAAATTCTTTCTCAAGGTGTGGCAAGTACTTTACATGCCCACATTGTAGCATCATGCAGCATGCTATAATCTGCAAAAAAGACTCACAGATCTTGCAGCTTGACCTGATATCTTCCAAGTTTCATCCCATTTCCGTTCACTCGCTATGCTACCAAATGTTCAAAGGCCATAAACCAATATAGTTAGAAGAGGAATGAAATCTTTGCCAAAATTCATGAGAGCTCCTAAGCCATTCAGCACCAAGAAAGTACAAGAAATGTAAATAAACAGTCTTGCAAAGAGAACAACCAACAACAACCAACCCAGTGTAATCCTACAAGTGGGGTCTGACGATGGTAGTGTGTACGCAGACCTTACCCTTACCTTTAAGAAGGCAGAAAGTGTTGAGGTTTTGTTTTTAAGATGAAATAGTCTTAAAATGAGGGTGAATGGGAAATGGAGGGAAAATGAAATTTTTGAGTAAAGTTTTAAATTTCCCCCTCTGTATTTGTGTTATTCTTATTATTCTGCAAACTAAAACCTTTGTGGTTTTGTGTACTCCCGTTTTGGAGAGTAAAGCCTTCGTGACATTTTGTTGGAGATTAAAATCTACGTGATTTTTACTCCAGTTTGAAAACGTGTATTAAACGTTTCTTTGTGTCATTCTTTTACAGAAAAAATGACGATTGAAAGCGAAAACCAAGTTGTTCCGATGGTGACTGCCAACGCATCGACAAGCCGAACACCGGTGTTGGCACCGGCAGAAAAATTCGAAAATTTTTTTGGGATTGATTTCAAGTGGTGGCAGCAGAAGATGTTCTTCTACTTAACTACGTTATGTCTACAAAAGTTCATCAAGGAAGATGTTCCTGATCTGCCACATAAAACTCCAGAGAATAAACGCTTTCTTGTGATTGAAGCGTGGACGTATTCTGATTTTTTATGCAAGAATTTTATTCTTAGCGGACTGGATGATAATATGTATAATGTATACAGTAGTGTGGAGACGTCAAAAGAATTATGGAATGCGCTTGAAAAGAAATATAAAAGATGCCGGGATGAAGAAATTCATTGCCGCAAAATTTTTGGACTACAAAATGGTAGATAGCAAGTCTGTTATTACCCAAATCCACGAATTGCAAGGGATTATTCATGATCTACTTGCTGAAGGTCTTGTCATCAATGAAGCATTCCAAGTAGCAGCAATGATTGAGAAGTTGCCTCCGTTGTAGAAGGATTTCAAAAATTATTTGAAACACAAACGAAAGAAAATATCCCTTGAAGATCTCAT